GCTGCCAGACTCATCGACCTTACCAACTGTTCTGCGTTCGCCACCTCTGCCAATCCCTCTACTGGCTTCCCAATGAATAAAATTCAAAACATTAAATAACCTACAAACCCATTTACAACTCTGCCCCGAGCTACATCACCAATCTTGTCTCCAAATATCACCCAAACCGTCCTCTCTGCTGCTCCCAAGACCTCCTCTCTAGCTTTCTTGCCTCCTCCTCTAATGATCATCTCCAGGACTTCTCCCACCCTCCGGAACTCCCCAATCTGTCCAGCTATCACCTACTCTATCCACTCTTTGGCTATCCCTGAAAACGTATCTCTTCAGGGAAGCCTATCCTGCCTTCAGCAAATAACCAAATCTTCTATTTTCCCCCAACAGTTCATCCCCCACAGTTATTACCTTTTGTTCCACCAGCATCTCACTATTAGACTGTAATCTCCCAGGAGCAGGGCCCTCTTAACACTTTTGTATTGAAATTGTATGGTTGCTGTATTGTCTCACTTTATATTGTAAAGTGCTGAGAAAACTGTTGGTACAATATAAATCCTGTATAATATTATTAATAATAAACGCCATCAGGAAATCCCACTTGACAATTCTTGGGGGAGAAATCAAAACAGGTTGGGAAAACAAGAACAGCCAGGATCAGCAGTGTCCGCAGATTTTATCCCACAGCCCCCTCATTCCCTAAAAAAGTAGCTCTTATACCTAAATGCATGTTGGTGTGTATGAATAAAGCTGAAACATTGAAAGTTGTGAGGTAGTTATATCAAGTCTTGATTAGATTATGGAATTCTCTGGCAGATGAAGCGATTGCCTATCTTTTGACTGTAGCATAATCATCTTTAATTTTTTTTTTATTTACTATGGAACTTTCAGCAATTAAATGACACAGTTTTACCTAGCAAACAAGCATAGAAAATTATGTATTGATACATCTTGCGTTCCATCCCCTATTTCCATGAAAATTGTTCCCAAAAAGAAAGTTGATGCTTGTTTATCCAGGATAAACATTTTTAAAAGGCCCAGCGAATACCACAATGTCCTTTTCTTTCCTGGTGCTCTTCTACGGTGTGCCCTGTGCCACCATCTTTTTTTTCCTCCTGCTTCTTGCAGCCAACCCCCTGATAATGCAGTGCCGGGCCTCGCGCATGAGCAGACAGACATCTGGTGCCATGTCATTCACAATATGCATTGCCAAAGCATGAGGCGGTCTCTTCCCCACAGCCTTCATCCCTGAGATCTCTGAAGCTGTGGTAACGTGTAAAGAGAAAAATATGTGGCATGAGATCTGGTGCAATGTCTTTCACAATACATGTTGCCATAGTGGGGGGAGCTTGCAAAAGTTGGGCATTTACAGTGTTGAAGACTTATGAGGTGGTTGATGTGTATCGTGGGAGGCTGGGGGAGGAGAAGGGCCAAGTCATTTTCGCCTAAGCGAGGAACAAGGAAGTTATATTGTGAAATGTAAAAAAAAAAGTATTTACTGAAGGGGGGAAAAATAATAAGCAATTACGTAAATAGGTAAATAGAAGGGGGAAGAAAAAAAAAAAGACAGTTGTAAATTTAGTGGAAGATCTGCTTTGAAATTCACACACTCAACAGTTTGTCAGTCTGACCTTTACCAGGTATATCCAAACATATACAGTACATGCAGGTTTTAAAAATGTTTATATTTACATATATAATTATATAACCATGGAAGGGTGGTTGTTAAACTGTACAGTATGCAAACCTTTACAATAAGCCTCCCATATTTGCACCTTCTGGCCTGTTAAATATGTTAAGAAGGGAAATGCTAGAACCTCTGTCAGCTTTATATTGTTGTCTGTGTCCCCGTTGCAGAATTTTTCTCATTTCCTGTCTGGTAAAAGGTTTTCCCCAAAACAGAAGGCAAGGGAAAATCTCTCCAAAGAAACCCCATTTATCAGTAAAACATGACAATTGTTCTCATCCTTCCCATTCTATACAAAACTAAAAAAACATTGGGTTTAGATGCAGATTAACCTCCTCAAGTTCAGACAATTTCACCCCCTTCCAGTCCAGGCCAATTTTCAGCACTGTAACACTTTGAATGGCAATTACTAAGGCATGCAACACTGTGCCCAAATGGTGGTATTTGATCACTACTGTTTGCCATTTTTTTTAACTATATAAAAACGAAAAAGAAAAAAAAAAAAAAAAAAAAAAAAAAAAAAAAAAAAAAAAAAAAAACACACTGAAAATTTTGTGGAAAAAAAAAAAAAAAAAAAAAAACCCAGCACATTAATTTTTTTGTTATAAATCTTCATAAATATAGGACAAAGTGTATTCCGACATTTTTTAGTAAAAATAACCCAAAACCGTGTCCGGCGTACGGCACTCACCTGGAGGCTGGTCCGGCGTACGGCACTCACCTGGAGGCTGGTCCGGCGTACGGCACTCACCTGGAGGCTGGTCCGGCGTACGGCACTCACCTGGAGGCTGGTCCGGCGTACGGCACTCACCTGGAGGCTGGTCCGGCGTACGGCACTCACCTGGAGGCTGGTCCGGCGTACGGCACTCACCTGGAGGCTGGTCCGGCGTACGGCACTCACCTGGAGGCTGGTCCGGCGTACGGCACTCACCTGGAGGCTGGTCCGGCGTACGGCACTCACCTGGAGGCTGGTCCGGCGTACGGCACTCACCTGGAGGCTGGTCCGGCGTACGGCACTCACCTGGAGGCTGGTCCGGCGTACGGCACTCACCTGGAGGCTGGTCCGGCGTACGGCACTCACCTGGAGGCTGGTCCGGCGTACGGCACTCACCTGGAGGCTGGTCCGGCGTACGTCACCTGGGCACGGCACTCACCTGGAGGCTGGTCCGGCGTACGGCACTCACCTGGAGGCTGGTCCGCGTACGTACTGGGCGTACGGCACTCACCTGGAGGCTGGTCCGGCGTACGGCACTCACCTGGAGGCTGGTCCGGTGTATGGCAGACAGAGCACTGATATCGCAGCGATCAAGACTCTGGTATGGAGTATGGCAGTGACCAAGACGTTAGCATGGTGTTTGGCGGAGTAATTGTGAGCACTGGTGACACTGGAACAGGTGACGGGCTGTCTGCACTCTACATTGTTTTTACACTGGAACAGTGATCAGGGACACTGGAGCAGACTGGCACTGCAGTCTGTGAGTGTACATGCAGCTGGACAGGCTGTTGTACACTCACAGGCTGCAGCATCGGTTCTCTCTACTCTCACAGTGATAGAGAGAACTGATGCGTATGTTCATTTTTGCATTGTTTACTATGTGACTGCAGTGACTGGACACGGCAATCACAAGGTAAAACACCATGTGATCACCCAGACACACGGATCTCAGAGCTCCCAGGTGCGTGCTCTGTAAGCCAAGCAGGAGCCGTCGATGCGGGCTGGTGTACAAGTACGTTCGCCCGCATCAGCACTCCTTCCAGTCCGCCGTTTATAGGCTATGGGTGGACGGGAAGCGGTTAATTGCCATTAAAAGCAGTCTGTCAGCAGTTACACTGTATAAACATTTGTTATTTTAGTCAGTGTTTGTTTCCTTCCTCTTTCCCAAAATCCTTAGCATATAAATAAAAATAGGCTGTAAAATAGAAGAGCTTTAGGTCAGTAGGACAGATACAGCACATCATACAGTCAGTTTACTAAGTATAAAATACTGTAAAGGTTTACGTGGACACATCTAACACCTGACATAAAGTAGTTCCCTCTTAGATTGTAAGCTCCTAACCCTCTTGCATTGAACTGTATTGTTGCTCTATTGTCTCCCGTTATATTGTAAAGCACTGAGCAAACTGGTGGCACTATAGAAATCCTGTAGAATAATATTTACTTGTATAGGTAAACAGATAACGTGTTTACCTCATAGTGCACTAGTTACCCATGAATCAAAGAAACAAACATTCCTTAAAAATGAGCATTATTTCAGAGTATGCAGCCCACAAAATTACTAGAAACAAGTGCCTCACTGCAACATGAAAAGCGGCATTCTTGAAAAAACAGCCAAATATGAATTTGAAATGCATATTTGTTTACTTGTTTTACCAGTAAAATGATTTATAATTTGTTTAGGACCTCTGGATCACCTCAATACTAAATGAACAGAGGTGAGAATACAGGTAGAAGACTGGAGACAGAGGGGTGACATAGAAAACTGCATTGCTAAACCAGTAAAATAGGTTGCCTGGCTGTACAGCAAGGGAGACATGTAAATCATTAGACTACATGTACAGAATGGCATATTCATGTAAAAGAGTAAGGGTCCTTTCACACAGGCATTCCGTCTGTTCATTTTTCATCCATCAGTGAATGAAAAATAGACAACAATGCACTTCTATGAGCAAACTGATGATCATCCGTTTACATCCTAAGCATATTTTAAAAGTATATTTAGCAGTCTTCCTGGAGTTCTGATTTGATATCCTGCAAGATGTGACAGAATGTAATCCTTCGCAGCTGAATAGTTTTACAGGCTTGAGGATTGTGAACTGATTTCTGGTTGTCATTATAGTTGCCCCTACATGGGCTGTTCAGGCCACATATTGATCTGACTGGCTGCAGACAGGTGATCTGCAGTAGATCAGGATATCTACAATTTCAGCCAGGTTTGACACACATTGTCATTTAACGCCGATGGAAAAATGTTTGCACCATTAGGGAACAAAATAAAATGAACAAAGTTGTGCATGAGGCCCTTGTATGATTCAATCTTCCATACCAGAAGATACATAGTAGCCTTTACAATAGGTGGCAGGCAATTCATGAGATCTTTTTAGCAAGGAATGTCTAAAACGCCTCTCTTTGTGGATTATATACCCTTTTCCAGGCACAAATATATTTGTACACCCTTTGACTGGTCAAATAAAATAACCTGATTCCAGATGAAAGTAACTACTAATAATTATTACTCAAACTCATAAAAATGACTTCATTAGATGAACAATCTCAGGAAATTTTAATATCATGCAGCACCTGAGGCGGATCTTCAGAAGAACCTTTTGAAGAAGCATTATCGTCATCCTCATCATCGTCATCATCATCTTTGTTTACTTTTATTTCTTCATACGGTCGCTTTTTATTTTTTTTCTCACCATCTTCAAAAGAAAAAAAATCATTAAAAATAGATCTAAAACATATATATTATGCACACACACACAGTTGACTTGGCCTAATATTAATGCTTACACAAAATTTACAGGTAATTTTTGTTCCTAAAGAGCTATTAAAATCAATAATACACCACTACCACTGGTCAGTTTACTATATATCACTACAAAGGAGACCAGCAAAAAATGAGTTGTATAGCTGTATGAGTGTAAAGTACAAAAAAAATTAAAGAAAATAACTATAGTGTAAAGCAAGGAATTAATCTATCATGTTTTAGCCAATTCAGTTCTAATAACCAAACTAGGTTCTGTTAAATAGATTTATTAAAAAAACAAGTAGAAACAAATTGAACCAGTCACCAGCGTGTTCAAAGCAAACATGACCCAGGCTTTAAAAGAAAATATTGTATACTTACCTGTCCATCAGTCTGTGCCTTAAAACTCTGCCACTTTGCTGATTCCCAGCGACGGCAGTAATGTAGGAGCCAGAAAGAATAACAGCACCCGGCAGGAAGGGGGGTGGGGGCTTTGGTGGGAGGTGAGCAGGTATTCAATGCACGTGGAATTAATATTTGTAACAGACAGGTATCAGCAAAGCTGCTGAGTTTGAAGACACATGCTGCAAGAAAAAGGTAGGTACACAGCATCTTCATTTACAGCATGTGCTTTGTTTAGGCTGGGGGAAGGGGTGGCAAAAATGTGGGGTTGAGCCATGTCAGGTATATGGGATGTTCCAGAGTCCACACCCTTCTTACCCCACTTCCAGAATGTTGAATTGTGATGGCTTAGAATGAAATTGATCACATGGAACTGCCTTGAAGGAGGACACCATAAGGCCAAGGACCCGTATGCAAAAAACAAGGATAGCACTTGGATCGCAGAGACATTAACAGATGAGTCTGGAAATGTTCCCAAGAAAGAAGAAACCCTGAACAGGTCTGTGATTAAGGACAGATGCAAGCAATGAGATGGTACCAATGCGGATTTCTGAAGATTTAGGATTAGGTGACCTTCCGTGGTCAAGTCACTGTAGGCAACGGTGAGGACTAACCCTGAGCTCTCATGTGGACCCAACATGGTGTAGAGGCTGATTGCAGAAGAGACAGAAGAAGCATGCATGTACGTGAGGCACTTGTGTTACAGTACATGTGCACTAGGAAAGCACGCAGGACATATTTTATAAAAAAAAAGTCACAGACATGCACTTACTGTCCGACTCCTCACATTTCTTGTGGGCCAGAGTATGTTGTATCAATGTACTCTCTGGGTGGAAATCTGTGACTAAGTCACATCTACTAGGTACTGGAAAGCTCCTGTGTAAAATCCTTAGTGAGGTATACCAAATCTAAACTGTCTTCACCCTTCTGGTGAGCATACTCCCTAAAGTCTTCAGGGACTGGGTTCCACCAGGGATGCATACCTTGGCCCTGGACCTGTAGAGCTCCCACATGTGTAGTTAAGTGCCAAGTGCAGAATCCAGTGCCTGAGAATAAAATTACAGGCTGTCCCCACATCATCTTCACAGTGGGGTCTGCCTACGGCTCCCCTAGAGCAACATTAAGGAGTAGCCTATATGGAAGCTGCAAAATTGAATCCCAGTGGTTTCACAGTAACTGTAGAATCTTGCTATAAAAGGGTTTGCTTCTCTCAGAGCGGAGAAAGGATGTTTATTCTCCTAAGGGTACTAGCGCATGCTGAGTGTGGGAGGGGTTATACTGGACTGTTCTCACAGTTTTGCTTTGCTAGTTTAATTCTACTGAAGGAAGCAGTATAACCCAGTTTTTCAGAATACCAGAATACTAACCTGTGTCCCGTAATACAAGACAAAAAGTAGGGCTTTTTTCCCCCCGTTACACTTACCTACAGTGGATAAATAAAGTCTACACACCCGTTAAAATATCAGGTTTCTCCGATGTAAAAAATGATAAATCATTTCAGAACTTTTTCCAGCCAGAGCCCAGACCTGAACCCGATCGAAAATCTGTGGGTTGATCATAAGAGGGCTGTGCACAGGAGATGGCATGGCAATCTGACAGATTTGGAGTGTGTTTGCAAGGAAGAGAGGGGAAATATTGCCAAGTCAAGATGTGCCATGCTGATAGACTCATACCCAAAAAGACTGAGTGCTGTAATAAAATCAAAACGTGCTTCTATACAAAGTATTAGTTTAAGGATGTGCACACTTACGCAACCATATTATTTTCGATTTTTATTTTTACTTCCCTCCACCTAAAGGATTTCAGTTTGTTGTTCAACTGAGTTTTACAGTTTATAGGTTACATTAAAGGGGGAAAAAGTTCTGAAATTATTTATCTTGGTTTCATTTTTTTACATCACAGAAACCTGACCTTTTAACAGGGGTGTGTAGACTTTTTATATCCACTGTAGGTGGATGCAACATCGGTCCGATACTGCATCTGTCCCCCACTGCCCAAGTGTGAGAACTCAGTGATCAAATGACCGCCGAGTTCTCCTCTCTGCTGTGAGCAGAAAGCGGGACTGTTCGTCAACGCTCTCTGCTCAGCCCCCTCAGCACTCACTGGAGGGCTGGGCTGTGGAGGGGGAGGGAGCGGCTAGCTCAGGCTCTCAGCGCTTTGCTGAGAGGCTGAACCAAGTGCCGCTTCAGACTCTGTGGTGGATCATGACTTTGAAGTCAGGGTCTTTCCCCAGCCTGGGCTGGCTGAGGGATGTCAGCTGACAGCGGACTTCAGTCTGCTGTAAACTGAAAACGGGTCACAAAGTGCAGAATGAACTGCATTCCTGTGATCCACAGGAGTACAGCAAAAAAAGCTGGCTGTACTGCTCCTTTAAGTATGTCTTTGAGTGATACTATCATACAAAACCTGAACACCATCCAATGAGGGCCAGAGATGCTATTTCTAGTACTTTTTTTACAAAAAGATTTGTAGTTTTTCAGAGATGTCTCTGGAGATGTTTACAGTAATTCAAATAAATACCATACAGCAGGGCTTAAAATTTCTAGAGTCTAGACCAGGGGTGGGCAAACTTTTTGACTTGAGGGCCGCAATGGATTCATATATTGGACCCGGGGGCCGGACCAAGAGTAGATGAATGAATATTCCCCCATAGTAATTCATCCCCCCTATAGTAATTCATCCCCCCTATAGTAATTCATCCCCCCCTATAGTAATTCATCCCCCCCTATAGTAATTCATCCCCCCCCTATAGTAATTCATCCCCCCCTATAGTAATTCATCCCCCCGTGTCAATTTACTTACCTTTGCTCCGCGCGTTCTCTCGCAGTGTTCCCCGCGCCGTTCCGGTCTTCAGGGCGGACTGTGAGAGGAGCCTAGCTCACGTTCGTCACGCTGCCCCGCCTACACACATCCTGACAGCACGCTCCGCGGGCCGGATTAAAAGGTCCGCCGGGCCGTATACGGCCCGCGGGCCGTAGTTTGCCCATTGCTGGTCTAGACCTACTAGCCAGGCACAAACCTTACTCTCCACCAGTTGCCCCACCCAACCTTGCCCAGGTCCGCCTCCAACCCCCAACCACGCCCCTTTAAAGCTTATGAAATTACATTTTGCTTTAGAATAAACTTTATTATAAATAAAAATGTAATTTCATAAGCTTTAAGAGAAAAAGAGAGGGAGGGGAGTCAGAGAGAGGGAGGGGAGTCAGAGAGGGGGGGAGTCAGAGAGAGGGTGGGGGGGGGGGGGGGCAGGGTGAGAGGGAGGGGAGTCAGAGAGGGCAGGTGTGAGAGACCCCTAGCCTGTCCCTGTCTGCAGTTCCTCCTGTGCCTCCTTGTCCCAGTACCCATCTGCTGTCTCTGATAAGGTGTGTGTGATGCTCAGTACGATACCTTCCATGCCAGTAGGATGTGCATGATAGCCAGCAGCGGGCAGGGTCTGGTCTTGCTCTTGGTGAGGACAGGAGGTGCTCTACTCTTTCCAGTGAATCTATGTGATGTGAGATGGAGCGGTCCCTGGCTGCCTGCACCTCCAGTCCGTCCCCATTCTCTGGGATCCTGGCAAGTCTGTTTTCCGGTCCCGGAAGCAGAGAGGAGGTTGTGTAAGGGGTGCGCATGCGCCCAGCAAAACCATAGCAGCATCTGACAAGGAAAGTGGCCATCAGATACAGACAGCTAGACGAGCCACAGGACACAAGTACTGGGGGAGGTGGGAGAACCTCATACTGTACAGTTGATAAAAGAAAAGGGAGTGATAGAAGGTGCAGGAGCGGTCAGCAATGGACAAGTTGTAGCCAACAATAACACTCGCGCCCATGTTATTTCCACTCGCCAAATGCGAGCAGGCGAGTGGAAATTTTAAGCCCTGCCATACAGGAAATAAATCAGCCTTTTGAAAATGAAGAGGGTTTGCTTACAAGCATATATCAAATAAAATTATTTAAGAAAATAAAAAAAAAAAAAAAAAAAAACACACAAAAAAAATCATCTTCAGAGACTTCCCAAAACATTATCAAACCCTATTGTTGGTAAAATGCATACACTCCTAATAAATATGAATGATTGAATGATTGAACAGATAACTTACATAAAGCGGTCTTCAGTTGATCCAGTATGTTGTTTTCATACACAGCCCTCTCTTCCCATATAGAGAGGACCCTAGCCAAATGCTTCTTACAGCTCTCATCCGTTTCACTACGGTAAAATAATTTAAGATATTGATAAGAAAGCAAAATTAAAAAGAAAAAGAAAAAAAAAAAGGAAAAAAGAAAAAAAGAAAAAAAAGAAAAAAAAAAAAAAAAAAGTTTAAGACGCAGTCTACATACTGCAAGTATAACTAAACTTGTAAAGCATTTCAATTACAAAATGAATGCTGTTAGACTGACTCAGTCATGCAATTCTTAACTTTCTGGAAGACAATAATATTAGCAAGATCAACTAGCTGAAATTTTACTTATCAGTTTTTGGTGAACAAGAGAATTAGATTATTTTGCACAGGTGTGAAAAGGGTGCACGAAACATGATACGAAGGTCTTCTGACTATTAGAGGTAAATGGATGTATTGAACTGATCCAATCAGTACACAGCAGAACATTTGCCTCAAGCTTTATTATTCTGTCCTCAGCAGGTGCACAAAAAAAAAAAAAAAAAAGCATGACCGTTCCGCAATAAAAATGCAGGAACATTTTTTACCTGAAAAGAAATTAAACAGACATGTCATACTCACCTGCTCTGTGCAGTGGTTCTGCACAGAGCAGGCCAGAACCTCTTCTTCTTGGGTCTCTGGTGATACTGGCTGCACCCCCTTGACCAGTGCCCCCAATAGCAAGCCACTTGCTTATGGGGGCACTGGTGCGTGCTCGCTCCTGAGCCCCGCTGTACGCCACAGCTTGGCTCCACTCCCTGCTCTCTCCTCATTGGCAGTGATTGACACTCTGATGAGTGATTCCCACTGCTGTGTCCCAGCCAACGAGGAGAGGGACCCAGGACAGCTGAGGCTCCTGTGCACATCGCTGGATCGAGAGGGGGCTCAGGTGAGCATTAGGTGGGCTGTGAGGCAAGCAGCACACAGAAGGTTTTATTTACCTTCAGGCATAGAACGCATGAAGGTACAAAAACATCAGCCTGTACAACCACTTTAATGCAGGAAAAGCATTAGGGTAAAAAATGCCAAAAGCCTTTAGAATCACTTATGGCATGATGATTTATTTTCTCAAAATTGCCCAATTTGTACTTTCTTTCCACCAACCTACAGTGCTCAGCATGAATGTGTAAACCCCAACAGATTTGTCAAAAAACCTTTACTTTCCTTCCAGAATCAACATTTTGTATAGGACACTATACTACAAAATACTCCCACAAATGCAGGCCATTGATTGTAAACATGATTTGTTAATTTGCACACACAAAAATATTTTTCCTAACAAATTAATTCAAGACCATGTTGTAAAAATTAATACACCCCAAAAAAGTCTTAGGAGCAAAGCTAAGATCCTAATGAACAAGAATTCAACTACAGGCGAGTCTAATTATTCATTAAACAGGTGTCCAGCAGACAGCTGATTATAAAAGGGCGATACTTAAAAAAGAAAACCCCTTCCCATGTCATGCGGTTAGCAATGGCACCACATGGAAGAGAAACAAGAAAGAAATAAAATTTCTTTACACAAGATCAGCAAAGATTTACTTATCAATCAGAATGCTGTAGCAAAAGTGATACAAAAATTTAACAAAAATAGAACTGCAACCATCTCACAGAGACATCTAGGCTGTCCATGAAAGTTAACACCTTAAAAAGGAGTCTTCTGATGAGAAGAATTGAAGAAAATCACCATGCAAGTTCACTGCAGTTCGCTAAAGTAGAAAGCCAAACTGGGTTGATGGTTTCCCGTGGGACAATATGGCGTACACTGCAGAGGAATGGCATGCATGGTTGTCATCCACGAAGGAAGCCTCTCCTAAAGCCCATGCACAAAAAAGCCCGTCTAGAATTTTCCAGGGCCCATGCTGAAAAAGAAGACGATACTGGCACTCTGTACTACTGAGACCAAGATAAATGTTTTTGGAACTGATGACTTCAAAACTGTATGGCGTCGCAAAGATGAGGAGTACAAAGAAAAATGCCTGGTGCCTACAGTGAAACATAGTGGTGGAAGTGTCCTTTTGTGGGGCTGCATGAGTACTGCTGGTGTTGGGGAGTTGCATTTCATTGATGGTATCATGAATTCACAGATGTACGGCTATATATTGAAAGTAAAGATGCTACCATCACTCTGTGTCCTTGGTCATCGTGCACTTTTCCCAACATGACAATGATCCAAAACACACATCTAAGGCCACTGTTGCATTTCTGAAGAACAACATGGTGAAATGATTCAGTGTATTAAGTATATCGCCTGATCTGAACCCATTCTTGAAGTGAAAAAGATAGATGTTGCCAACTTAATTCCATGCCTAGAAGATTTGGTACTGTCCTTACAAATCATGGAGTTCATACAAAATACTAGATGTAGTAGTTTTTGTTGTGGGGTGTAGTTATTTTTGTAAATTTTAGTAAAACTGATAATTTTGTAATCTAAAGTTATATTATTAACCTTACTTTCATGTAATGAACTAAACAAATGTTCTACAAAACTCAGTTTTGTCAAAATATTGGAAATTGTGGTCATTGAGATATTGATTAAAATCCTACTTTTCATACTCATTTATGCTGAGCACTGTACCTACTTTTGACAATTTTTTTTCCACTTAATGTCAACACCACAACTTCCAAATACAGAAAACGTAGCCAACTGAAAAGTACTTTTTGTGGATCTTTAGAATTAGGCCAGATTTTAAAAAATAAAAATATGAATCTCACCAGGAACCTACCTTGCAACATGTTTAAATGCATCCACAATAACAGGTGCAAAATCTTTTGTAAATTCAGGCCCTTTTCTCTTGCTGTTTTGAATCACATCATTTGCCAGGTACAGAAATGTCAACTTTCTACTAGGCTTTGCTGTGAGACCAAGAGAAAAAAAAAAAGGAACACAAAAACAGTGATTAATGCATTAAACAAATGCATGAAGGTAAAAAACCTTCAGTCTTTAGAACCACTTTAATCAAGACCCCGGCATTTTTTCCCCAGTGACTTCAATCAAGATTATTACAGCACTGCTTGAGCTTGTCTTTACATAGCAGCGTATCCTCAGGAGGTAAGAGGCCATACCCAGACCCTTCCGGAGTGGACGAGTGTGGGGCTATCCTGCAATGCAACTTTCAGCCGCTGGGATTTCAACTGTAGCACTTTCCAATCCTTTGTGAACTGTGTTGGTTAGCGCTGGAGCTCCTTCCAGGTCCAGGGCAAAGGCAACTCACTCAATGAGTAAGACCAGTTGGGCTGAAGAACCTGCAACTACCTCACCAACAGTTTCACTGTGATAAGGATTAATGCTGTGGCATTAAGTGTTGCAGCACTACAGCCTAGTGGATGAAGCCATGTGTACTCCATGCTCTCTTTCTGCAGTTCAGCCTGCAGGAAGCACCATTCCTGCTGCTGCTTCTAAAGCACTGCGTTGATCATCTGGCCTCATTCTGCTGCCTGCATACACTGACCTGGTCACTTCCTGCCATTTGAAACACATACCTGCTGCCCAGTTTCTGAGTACTTGAGGCCTTGTCTCACATCGGGCCTAGTTGCTTTATGTTGAACAATGCATTATGTATTTTTAAAGAAACACAAGACCGTACCACTAAGGGTGACCTGAGCCCCATACCCCACCAATGGTTTTGGGAGTGTTTATCTGGTATCCTCTGAAAAAACTGATGCCTTTTATCTAGAACCTGAGACCCCTATTAATACAGAATTGTCTTCATTGACGTTTTCATAAGTTCCATGGGCAGGGCTGTGGCCTCCTTCTGTCTACAAGGACTGTCATATCCACTCTGAACTTTATATTTGTATGTGCCCAGTTACTGAGAATCCTGCCTGCACAGGTGCTAAATGCGTTCAGGCACCATCCCTGGCAGACTAACTTGGACCCTTCTTGGCCAGGCCCGGAAAAAAACAGAGCCGTAGACATAGTTTCCCATCTTTGATTCACAGTCCAAATAGTCTACTTAGCTTTTTTCAAGCCACCTGCAAAAAACCCTCAGATTTACAAGGGGTTGTTTCCAATTTGATAGACACATTGTACCTGCATCTGGAAGTCCACCCTGCACAGACCTTCCCACTACACCTGCTATTTAAAGCTGATCTCCAGCTTTTAGTGAAGTTTAAATAGCTTGTTTGGACTAAGGACGTCCAAAAAGGAACTATTAGCATCAATACTAGATGTGTCCTGTGTGTGCTGCAAGTAGCCTCAGCTACATACAGTATATAGCACTGTGTTCTGGCAGCGAGATGGGAACGTCTTGTCTTACTCCCGAAACAAAGCTGAGTCAATGAATCATGAATACAAAGCTTCCTCACAAGCATCCCCAACTCAGCCATTGAATAGGAAGCTCTGTATTCATTTACCAAATTTCACTAAAAGTTGAGAGATCAGCTTTAAGTAATTTTCTAAAAGGTCTGGAAACTCCCTGCAGGATCCCAAGTCCCTCCGGAGTGTTGGAGCTTTTACCCTTTTAGAGTTTTTTACTCTGATCTCTTCCCATCATGGATGCTTAGGGTCCTTTCACTAGAGTGAAATCAGTTGCATCACAAAAACGGACGGAAAAAAAAAAAAAAAAAAAAAAAAGCGCATGAAAACTAAATTCAGTTTGTAAATCTGTCTTCAGCTCAGTTTACAACAGTATATATCCATTTTTCACATTTTTTTTTTTTTTTTTTTTTTTTTAAGTCATATAGGTGGAAAAACATGTAAACAAAAATGTCTTGTTTAAAAACTAGATATTCCTTTAGGTCTGCAAAAATGGGATTTTTGTTACTTATTGTAAAATCCCTTTCTCTGAGTTTATTGATGGACACAGCTCTTCTAATCTTGACTATAGGGTTATATGGCCACCAACTAGAGTAGGACACTAGCCAGAAAAAGAACACAGCATCACCTATGGGCAGTCCTAGCTGGTGTAAACTCCATCTCTGCTATAGGCAATCCAGTCAGTCACAAAGCAGTGTAGGAAGATCGAAAAAAAACCTCAAGGAGAGGTGGGTACTGTGTCAATGAACTCAGAGAAAGGGATCTTATGTTCTTTGACGGACACAGCTCTTCTCATCTTGACCATAGGGACGTCCCAGAGCCTCATTGAGGGTCGGGCAAACCAAAGAAAAACTGGAGCAGCCAGGCAGACATGTCAACCACCCAAACAAACCCCCCCCCCCCCTCCAAGGGGAACAAGCAACCCTCAGCATAAGCTTGCAAAAGGTATTGCAAAAAAAAAAAAAAAAAAAGAAAGCCGCTGGAGACATGAGCATATCGATAGAGAACATCAGCAACAGTGCACACAGAATATCAGGTAGTAACCTAAGACGCAAGCACTGGATGTCGAAACCTGCAGAGGCACCATAAATCTGAAGGAGCGTGCCGCAACTTGGAAGGGTGAAGCCAAACTGTTAGGGCGAAAACCTCAACTATCGTCAGCCAAATCCCACAGAAAAGAATAGCAAAAGAGGGCGGAAGGCCAAACCAGGGTTCTTCTGTGATCGCAAAAAGGAATATCTGACCTCTGAAAGGAAGCCGAAGCAGCAAGGTATACAGGAACTGCCCAGGTCTATTCCAAGGAGGTGAGCAGCTAAACTCCCTCAGGATGCATAGTCGGGGACACAGGGACAGCTGGACAGTCCACAAGCAGGTGGAAAGGGAAGAGGGACCCGGACAGAGGACCCCCATATTCCTGCATAAAACCAAGAGGAAAAAAATCATACAGGATAAAGTCGCCAATGCTCACACTCCCCACACGGAAGTGAAAGTGACCAAAAAGGCCAACCTGCAGAAATAGCACCCATAAGGGAAACAGCCCGAACACCCTGAAAAGGGAGCTTCTAGGAGGACAGAAAGAACCCAAGTCAGGTCCCACGGTGGAAACACCACACTGTGACCCTTTTAGATGAAGGCAGGAACTAAGGCATGCACAACCAAGGGCCATAGAAAGAATATTGCTACTGCAGAAAACCTGGGCTCTAATGGTATTTCAGGCAAGCTCTTGATCAATGCCTCACTGAAAGGAGAACACCCAGTGGTGCCACCAAGAAGGTGCACGGACTGACACCCAGAAAGCAAGAATTAGACTTGCTTGCCTTCAACATGGTCGGGGATACTAAATCCGAAAAATCCCTGACTCCCAGAACCAGGCTTTCAAGAGCCGCGCAGTCAGGCCAGAGACTGCAAACGGGGGGGTCCTCAGTACTGAAGGTTATTCCAAAGGAGAAGCAGCCATGTAGCACCTGCGATCAGCCAGCCACCAGAAGGACTGGAATCTCTTTGGCCTCTATCTCATCTTGCATAGCTTATAAGCACGGAACTGGAAAGCAGGAAATGCAGAAATGAGAATACTTAAAATCTTCCTGATAAGAGGAGGCACCAGAAGATCCACATCCAGGAGGACCCAGCATAGGAAGAACTGGCAGAACATGACCAGATGTAGTGGCCTCTCCCTCTGATCCAGCATTGGATGACTGGAGTAATTCGCCTGCAGGTTTCTGATGCCTGGCATGTACATGGCCCTATTCTAAGGGCCCTATTCTTAAAAAGACAGAATAGTTTAAAATAGAGAGAACAAAAAAAAAAAAAAAAAAAAAAAAAAAAAAAAAAAAAATCACCATTTTTGGAGGGAAAGTTTTTTTTATTCCTGCAGCGGATGCTGTGTATGCAGGCATGTGAGTCACAGCAGAGAAAAATAAAAGGAATTTAGGGTAGTGAACAGAAAAATCGCTCTAAACTCTGGTTTAACCACTTGCCTAGCATGCACTTTTACCCTCTTCCTGCCCAGGCCAATTTTCAGCTTTCAGTGCTGTTGCACTTTGAATGACCATTGTGCAGTCATGCAACATTGTACCCATATGAAATTTTTATACATTTTCTTCACAAAATAGGTTTATTTTGGTGGTATTTGCAACTGGGGTTTTTATTTTTTGCACTATAAAAAAAAAAAAAAAAAAAAAGTGAAAAAATTTATAAACAGAAACAAAACTACTTTTTTTTTCCAAATTTTTTAAACAGGTAATTTTTTCTCCACTGATGTGTGTTGAGGCTGGTACTAGTGGTCATTGATGATTAGGCACTGATGATCAGTGCCCTGATTATCAGTGCAGATCTGCTCTGTGACATTTGCCGGTTATCGGCAGTACTTTCCTAATGCTGTGACACCGTGAGGAAAGTGCTGCCGAAAACCGGCAATTGTTTTTACTTTGTGATCTGCTGTGTCATTGGACACAGCTGATTACGTGGTAAAAGGCCGCTGTGGTTGGCCTTTAACCTCGTCATGTGATCAGCTGTGTCCATAGGACATAGCAATCACTGACAACACTGGTGCTCATTCTGGGAGGACATCACACAGGTCCCATTAATTGTTAAATGCATTAGAGTACACGTGTATTTTGCGGCCACCAAATCACATGGTACTAGGGCTTGGTGTGACATTTATAAAAGCTGCGCCTGCCGTATTTTGAGAGTTTCTGTAACCCATTAAAATGAATGGGCTCTCACATGCTATGGGCAGGCAGTTACTGAATTGAAGGAAGAATCAATCTACAAGGAGCACTCATTAGCACCGTCACAGTTAATTGAAAACAACAATGGTAGTTGTAGTCCAGTCACTCACATAAATCTGTGAATGAATGATACAGCTGTGTGGGCAGAGCCCCGCATGGTTGCGCAGTTTTCAAATTATGACAGCAGGTTGGGGGGGGGGGGGGGGAGAAGATCCCCTGCTTGCTGTCACAGGGAGGGGGAGTCGTGGGGGCGTTGGGGGAGGAATGTAGAAGGCAGGAGCTGTAGCGTGTTCCACCCTAAATTCAGGTGGAACACATATTCCAAAAGGTGAACTTCACCTTTAAGCTCTGACAAAAATCAGGAAACG